TCATTTTCACAGATTTCAATTAAAAACACCAGATTTGTTTTTAAAGAAACAGACATTTAGAAAAAACAGAGTTTGTATTTTCTAAAGGACGTTTCTCATCCACAGTTTTGCAGGTTGGATTTTTCAAAACACAACAAAACATCTCCCTCGCTCTCTGAATAATGTTTCTGCTTCGTGCACTCGTCTAAAAAACACCGTCAGGATGTAAAACCGTATCTGCATCGTGTGCGTTTTCTAAACGAGGAGCTGAAACGATGCAGCTTTTCTGACGCCGCCGCCGTTAACTGGGTTTGGCAGAGCAGGTTGGTGCCCGGCAGCAGCAGATGACGCCATGTATCACTGTCACACGTTATTTAGGCCTAAACTGGCCTCTGGAAGTTCAGAACGTGCAGGTGAAATTAAAGCTCGGGAGCAGAAGATGCCCTCTGACTCGCTCTCAGAGCTGAAGCCATGATGAGGTCTTTGCTTCGTAATGTAATACGAGGTGAGCACATTTAACCGAAATACTGTTAAAGAACAACGTCTGCACACTTTAAGGATCCAAATAAGTGGTTTAATTCTCTTTTAAAGCCTTTTAATAAGAGTTTTAAAGACCTGTTGTAGCGTAATATACTAATATAATAGATGTTTCTGCTAAAATCGACTTTTTAAAAAGAGTAAAACATGACTGGACTAGAAGAGAATAATATCTAGAAGATGATCCTGATATTAAAAAAATGTGTTAAAATGATCCTTCCATTGTCTACACATGCTGATATGAGCCTGGAAAGTTTACCCAGAATGCACTTCATCACAAACACTCCATCCTCACTTTGAAGCACGGCGGTGGCATCATCATCATCATCAAGGTGAAAACGAGACTTAAAGATTAACAAAACTGCACTTAGACGTTAAACTCCTGCAGGCTGACTGTTCACACTGTGAGACATCCCATAATACTGATGCTACCAGCTGGTTATTGAACAAAAATGTGCAGAAGAAAAATCTGATTTTGGCTTTAGACTGTGATGTAAAACTGATTTGGTTGCAGTTTTTAACAAAATAAATTTAAGAATATCTTTTTTTTCTGCCTAAAAACTGGAGAAGTCATGTAATAATACTAAAATAATAAAATACAATTAGGCAAGAATAGAGAAAGTAAAAACTAACACTGAGGTAACTGTAAAAACATGCTAAAATTTTTAGCAGCAATAATCTAAAAAAATACTGTAAAATAATCTCAGTTGCAGTTTTTAGCAGATCTCAGATGTGTCCGTAAAACTTTGCACGGCTTCATTAAATGTACTGAAGTTACTGTAGATAAAGGACAAGCAGGTTCTGAGGAGGTCGGGGTGGGTTAAAGGCTTCACACCTCCAGAAAAGATAAGATACGATAAGATAAGATAAACTTTATTGTCTGTCACAAGTGACAGAAATTCTTCTATGACAGGCATAAAAAACAAACACATTTAAAACAACATACAAGTAGATGAGGATCAATAACACTCGCTTACTTCCTGGTCCGTCCTTGACCCGGGGCCCCGTCGTGTCTCGGTCCGGGGACAGCGTGGAGTCGCTGTGGGAGTTGGCGTTGGAGAAGGCGTTGTCGTTGGGCTCCGTGTCGGCCATGTCTGACACGGCGTCGCTCTCCTCCTCCTCCGGGTGCGTGAAGATCCAGTCGAGAGCTCGCTCCAGGTTGTTGTTCTGGAAAAAACGCCGACAGAAATCTTATTAGAAATCTTAACCTAATGTTGATTTAAGACAAAGAAAGTCTTAAATCAAGTTTCATAAAGACTCGTTGTCTAACTTGCTTTTGTTCAGTGATCGACCTTCATCAGGCAAAAAATAAAACTAGTCCTAAATGTGTCAGTGGTGCACTTTTACATTTACTTTTTCATTTTTGGAATCCAAAGCGGGTTTTAGTCGTTAACATTTGCTCTTGAGAAGATTTCCTGTTGATGGGAAAATCATTAGTTGTGCATAAAACGATGCTGTGACAGAACAAATTAGCACAGAGAGGTCTCGATGTGCTAATATTTGCTGCTACCACCACATATTGATAAAACTTTATTAATCCTGAAGGAAATTCTTGAGCCACACATCGCTCAGAAAAACCTAGATGACATGAAAAATGCAGAGAATAAAACTAGAACAACAACAAGATGTGAATGAAATAAAATAAGTAAAATAGGAATGGAAATTATGCTGCTGTAATGTGATCAGAAATAAAGACTAAAGCTTTCATATCCCATCAGATTTTCTCTCTTCCTCTCTCTGCTGCATCTTGAACAAACTCAGCGGTCTTTTATTTTGAAGGAGCCCGGCGTCCCATCTGCTCCCCCTGAGGACGTTCTCTGGATGTTCTTTAGGTGCGATTCCTCGACGTCGTCGGTCTGAGGCGTCATCCGGTGACGGGTTTCTCCCTCGGTCGGGTCGCAGGGCTTTAAACGAAGCTCTAATTTGGGGCTAATAATAAAGCGGCTCTCTGTTTCACACCTCCGTCCCTCCGGAGGAAAAAAAAATCTGTTTTTATTTCCTGACTTGTGGCTGGCAGCCGCTCGGTGGCACAAACAAGGAAGCCTGCTGTCGGATGCTGTGTTACTAATGGGATGTTTGTGCTCCAACGTGAGAATCAGAGGCCGTTTTCACACAAAACGTGATATAAAAATACCATCGACACCTTTACGAGGTGATGAAACCCTCTGATGTGAGGAACGTCCTGATCTTTAAGCTGAACTATTTGTAAACAGCATTTAGATCTTTAATCACGTTGGACCTGTTCAACGTCTGGAGAGTGAACAAGTGGGTCAGCCAGGATCTCTTTGTGACTGACAGGTTGGTTCTGGTCGTCTCAAACACGACTCCGAGCCAAACGTCTTGATCATCTGACGGCGGCTGAACGTGTCACAGTTCTGTATAAGCTGCAGACCTACCAGGTGGATAAAACAGAAAAGTATGCACAAGAACCAGCACCTTGAGCTGTGAAGAGTTTTGAGGGATGTTTTTTTTTAGCGCACAAAGACATTTTCACATCTGTACAAAGTAAAATGTCCACAAAAATAAAACTTTACAGCAACAAAACCCAGACGCTAACATCCGAGATTAATGAGCCTCGTCGATAAATCATCTAATTTAGGTCAACTTTTCACTGATTTGGGGAAAAAAAGCATTTTCCTATGATGCCTCACGGGTTTGAATAATCTGCAGATACCCCTCTTTTCCTGGTTCGGAGCCAGAGCCCGACTCAGCACCAGTTCTTTGTGTTTCCACCGCCTAAGCACCGGCTCCAGGTTCTCAGAACTGGTGCTTAGCGAACACCAACTCTTTGCTGGTCCAGAGCTAAGAACCGTCAGGGGCTGGGGGCGGGGTTATCATGAACAACGAGACCGATGAATGAATGAATGAATGAATGAATGAATGAATGAATGAATGAATGAATGAATGGGACACATGAGCGGTGATTTGTGTCGTTTTTCTCCAGGACGTCTCTGGTCCGATCACAGATGTACTGGAATGACACACGGAAGTTCTGCACAAACTGTTGCACCCTGAAAGCCGGTACAGTTGTAGCGTCTATTGATAAGAAGCAAGTCGTATGTTTTGCCTGAGACGAGGTGAGAAGTGCTTCCATGAGCGTTGTTCGGTAAACGGTACGGCGTGGCTCTAACTTGGCTCCTGGTCAGTGGAAAAGGGTTCTTAGGAAGTGCCGGGTTGGAACCAACTAAGCACTGGAACTAGCACTTGGTATTAGAGATCTTAGATTAAAAACACTCACATCAATTAATACATTTAAAGGATGTGGTGATGGAGACATGATTGTTTTTCTTGAGAAGTCCACTATGTTATAATAGTTGTTGTTTTATTTGTATTTGTTGCATCTTAATCTGCTGTGATTGGCTGCTACCTGGGCCGGGTCTCTCTTGTAAAAGAGGTTTTGAATCTCAGTGGGACTTCCTGTTTAAATAAAGGTTAAATCAAAGTGGAGCCGAAGTTCAGTTTGTTGCTTTTGGTAGTTTTTCCTCTGAGTTTATTGAACATCTGCAGCACCAGACGGCAGCAGGATCCATTTAAGTGTCTATAAAAGAATAAGAAAGCTGCACATTTTAAAGCAGGTGGAACATCAGCGACAATAACTTTATCAGTTATTAATATTTATACGTGATCCCTGACATGGAGACAGGATGGATCTAACAGCAGGTAGCTAGTAGTTACATCATCATCACACATAAAGAGAGTTTGAAGAATTTATGAACTCAGAAATCAGCTGTTGCTTATTTGTACGGTTTAATCATTTTGATTATTTGATTTTCTTTGTTTGTTAGTGTATTTTTATGTAATATAACAGCATACTGTTATTTTAACAGATGGATGAAGCAGCAGTTTGTCTTTTTATTTCTGTTGTCCAGTTTTTGTTCTGTTAGTTATGAATCCATTACCGACTAACTGTTGGATTTTCTTCTTGTTTTTTCTGCTCTGACAACATCTGCGTGGCTCCTCAGAGACGCTCTGTTCTGTTCTTGTTCGTTTCTTTGTCCTCAGAAGTCTGATTTTTTCTCTTTTTTTTTAATCCCTCTGTGTAACTATCAGCTGCTTCTACGACCGACAGACTCAGGAAGGAGCGCCGCCTACGACGGACCTCATGTCTTCATCCGTCGCTGCCCACGCCGGCTCAACCGCTCGACTGTTAATAATTCAGCGTTTTCACTGCAAGATAGCGTTTTTTTAAAGCACATGTGAAGTTGCGGGTGTTTGTTTTTAACAGGAAATACCGAAGAATTAGGGGCAATCTGAAGCTAATTGTCAGAATCAAAGTGGTTCTGTTTTGTGTCTCAGGACTGGGGTGTGGAGGCGGCGGGCAGCAGACTGACCGTGGCTTTGAGCGCCCGGATGCTGTGGTTGCGGGGGAAGCCCATCGAGGTCAGGATGGAGATGCTCTCCTCGGGGGGCGAGCTGCCCGGAGGCGGGGCGGCGGCCATGGGGCTGTCGCTGGTGGACGGACCCGGATCTATCATGGAGGGCAGCAGGAGCGGCTCGGCGAAGTCTGAGAAGGCAGAAGAAGATCAGCGGTTCAGTTTCATTATCATGTGTGACATCAATGTTACTACTATTCTTAGCGTCGTCGTCATGGTTTTACCTTCTACCTTTTTTAACTCCACTTGTTCTTTTTCTCAACTTGGAGATGGCATTGTTTTTGTTTTTTCTTTTTATGTGGTGTTTCTAAAGTGATTTATTTTGAAAATCTTTTACGNGCTAACATCCGAGATTAATGAGGCTCATCGATGATTCATCTAATTTAGGTCAACTTTTCACTGATTTGGGGAAAAAAAGCATTTTCCTACGATGCCTCACGGGCTTGAATAATCTGCAGATACCCCTCTTTTCCACCGAGCTGGTTCCAGTACTAGCCAGAGCCCGACTCAGCACCAGTTCGTTGTGTTTCCACCGCCTAAGCACCGGCTCCAGGTTCTGGTGCTTAGCGAACACCAACTCTTTGCTGGGCCAGAGCTAGGAACTGTCAGGGGCTGGGGGCGGAGTTGTCGTGACCGACGAGACCGATGAATAAATGAATGAATGGGACACATGAGCGGTGATTTGTGTCGTTTTTCACCTCTGGTCCGATCACAGATGTACTGGAATGACACACGGAAGTTCTGCACAAACTGTTGCACCCTGAAAGCCGGTACAGTTGTAGCGTCTATTGATAAGAAGCAAGTCGTATGTTTTGCCTGAGACGAGGTGAGAAGTGCTTCCATGAGCGTTGTTCGGTAAACGGTACGGCGTGGCTCTAACTTGGCTCCTGGTCAGTGGAAAAGGGTTCTTAGGAAGTGCCGGGTTGGAACCAACTAAGCACTGGAACTAGCACTTGGTATTAGAGATCTTAGATTAAAAACACTCACATCAATTAATACATTTAAAGGATGTGGTGATGGAGACATGATTGTTTTTCTTGAGAAGTCCACTATGTTATAATAGTTGTTGTTTTATTTGTATTTGTTGCATCTTAATCTGCTGTGATTGGCTGCTACCTGGGCCGGGTCTCTCTTGTAAAAGAGGTTTTGTCTCTCAGTGGGACTTCCTGTTTAAATAAAGGTTAAATCAAAGTGGAGCCGAAGTTCAGTTTGTTGCTTTTGGGAGTTTTTTTCCTCTGAGTTTATTGAACATCTGCAGCACCAGACGGCAGCAGGATCCATTTAAGTGTCTATAAAAGAATAAGAAAGCTGCACATTTTAAAGCAGGTGGAACATCAGCGACAATAACTTTATCAGTTATTAATATTTATACGTGATCCCTGACATGGAGACAGGATGGATCTAACAGCAGGTAGCTAGTAGTTACATCATCATCACACAAAAAGAGAGTTTGAAGAATTTATGAACTCAGAAATCAGCTGTTGCTTATTTGTACGGTTTAATCATTTTGATTATTTGATTTTCTTTGTTTGTTAGTGTATTTTTATGTAATATAACAGCATACTGTTATTTTAACAGATGGATGAAGCAGCAGTTTGTCTTTTTATTTCTATTGTCCAGTTTTTGTTCTCTTAGTTATGAATCCATTACCGACTAACTGTTGGATTTTCTTCTTGTTTTTTCTGCTCTGACAACATCTGCGCCGCTCCTCAGAGACGCTCTGTTCTGTTCTTGTTCGTTTCTTTGTCCTCAGAAGTCTGATTTTTTTCTTTTTTTTTAATCCCTCTGTGTAACTATCAGCTGCTTCTACGACCGACAGACTCGGGAAGGAGCGCCGCCTACGACGGACCTCATGTCTTCATCCGTCGCTGCCCACGCCGGCTCAACCGCTCGACTGTTAATAAATCAGCGTTTTCACTGAAAGATAGCGTTTGTTTTAAGCACATGTGAAGCCATGGGTGTTTGTTTTCAACAGGAAATACCGAAGAATTAGGGGCAATCTGAAGCTAATTGTCAGAATCAAAGTGGTTCTGTTTTGTGTCTCAGGACTGGGGTGTGGAGGCGGCGGGCAGCAGACTGACCGTGGCTTTGAGCGCCCGGATGCTGTGGTTGCGGGGGAAGCCCATCGAGGTCAGGATGGAGATGCTCTCCTCGGGGGGCGAGCTGCCCGGAGGCGGGGCGGCGGCCATGGGGCTGTCGCTGGTGGACGGACCCGGATCTATCATGGAGGGCAGCAGGAGCGGCTCGGCGAAGTCTGAGAAGGCAGAAGAAGATCAGCGGTTCAGTTTCATTATCATGTGTGACATCAATGTTACTACTATTCTTAGCGTCGTCGTCATGGTTTTACCTTCTACCTTTTTTAACTCCACTTGTTCTTTTTCTCAACTTGGATATGACATTGTTGGTGCTTTTACTTTTTATCTGGTGTTTCTGGAGTGATTTATTTTGAAAATCTTTTACGGTGTTTACTTTTGCCTCTTTTTATTTTTTTTGTCCTGTTCGGATTGTTTAGTCGTCCTGAGCATCCTTTTCTCTTTGTTTTCTCTTTTTTTTTTGCCCTGTCTGTAAAGTTTTTATTATTATTGAGCACATTTATTATTATTATTATTATCATTATTATTATTATTATTATTATTTCACTTTAATTTTATTTGTGTCAGACATACCACAGTATCATAAAGGCAAAAAAAAAGAAAGAAATACATAATACAAAAAACAAACACGGACAAAAAAAATAACAAAAAAACAACCAAACCAAATCAAAAACCTGGAAAAATAATAATAATTATTATGATAAATATATAAATTATTATTAGTTATTATTATTAATTATTTTTGTTATTACTGTTATAACAACAACCACAACAATAATAATAATAATACATATATTAATTAATCAACAATAACATTTACTATCTTTGCCAGTATTACTTACAATTTATTTACTTATTTCTTTTTCTATTCTAGTCTTATTTTCGCTTTATTTCTATTTTTAGTTTCTACTTGGCGCTGTATTTCTCACGTTGTTTATTTTCTTTTCTTAGGAATATCTTGAAAAAGAATTTCCTTCATGATTAAGTAAGTTTAATTTATCTTGTGTTGTCTTACGTCAGTTTTTTTTAGTGTGATTTGCTTTTTTTTTTTACTGTTTTACTGATTTTAAAATGAAAATGTTTTAAAGAGATCCCCTTCGATGATATTGAGCTCCATCAGCATTCTCACCATTTAAACAGTAAATAACTTGCAGCACAGACAACATGAACGACAGTCATAGAGAATAAAAAAGGAAGTCGTGCCTCAGATGTTCATGTGAACAACTTCTGAATCACAAAGTTAGCTTCAAATCAAGTTAAAAAGCAAATCTCATGAAGTTAATTAAACATTCTAAACCTTATTATTGTATATATTTGTCTTTGAGATCATAGTTTTTACATTTAAAGGTTGGAACTTGTCAATTTCTGTCTATTTAACACCTTTAATTATTAAACATGAACAGCAGTTTAATTGAGAAAAAAGGCTGAACTGTTCCTTAACTCTGACCCGGTTAATAATTCAAGCTCAGACATGAAGTGAAATGCCAAACCGCAACACGTGGACGGCGCCAGATATTTAGTCCTTTAAATAGCAACTGGATCTAAATGCATCCTGTGATATGTTCATGTCAAAGTCCGGGCTGCTGCTGTGAGTCTCAGCAGAACACATGTGTTGATGTGTTTAGACGTTCACGCCCATAAACACGAACCAGAACCAACACCGACGCCCTCTGGAAGCACGTCAGCTTTATGATTGGTATCGATCCATAAAAGAAGTTTGCGGTTTTGCTTCAAAATGTTACACAAAAATAAAAATGCAAGCAGAAGTAGTCGTCTAGTTTTGCAAAGTGATGCTTTGTTCTTTATGTCTGCACCTTAAAACGAGCCATAAGAGCTGATTTAATAATGTGTTAATCAGGCTGCAGGTGAGATTTAAAGTTCTGTGCGATTTCAGTATCAGCAATCAGCCACAATAAGTTGGAAAATATCTGCAAAAGTCCAACGTTGTGAAGCTCTTTAGCTCATTATAGTCTGAATAAGTAAAACTCGGACTTTGCTGTTAAAGAATGAAGTTTTCCAATAATTCCTCCAAGTCACAGAGAATTTTTTTCACATTTTAACATTTTTAAGTAGTTTAACTAGTTTTAATTACTGTTTAAAGCAGATAAAGGCTTCAACACTGAACACTGAACACTGACAGGTAGATAACACATCTCAGGCTAAGGGTTTATAGTTCTGCTTTGAAATCTTACATAAAAAAAAAAAAAAAAAGGCACATTTATTCAAAGTAGAAATCGTTTTCTTCCTGTGTCGAGTGACTGTCTGAAAGCATGTCTGCCAGTTAGTCGCCACCGCGATAAGACGAGGATTATTAATGTGTTCATTCTACTAGAGGAGAGGCTTAATGTTCTTTGCAATTATTAAAACCACGTGCACATATCGGCATCAACAATCTGTTAAAATCCAATAATGTGCTGCTGAATATGTGCGTCGTCAAAGAAGAGTTTCAAAGTCATACCTCAGAACGCAAACACAAGGAATATTATAAGAAGTTCTGCTCAATTCAGGAAGCATCCTGCACATTTTAACAACTATTTAATTAGCTTTTTATTACTATTTAAAGCTGGTAAAAGGATTAACATTAAATACGAGCAGCAGATAAAGCAACTCCGGCTAAAAGTCTTTAATTCTGCTTTAAAAAAACAGAATATTTTAGTTATAAGTTGACTAGTTTTGCTATTTTGCAGAGAGAATGTGTGCATTTGTGAGCTTTTTATTGTGTGTCTGCCCCTGCGATGAGATAAGGTGTAATATAGGAGGAGCAATCTGCAATCAGACGTCGGTATCAGCATCGACAATCAGCCAAGATAAGCTGGAAAATATCTGCAAAAATGCAATATTGAGCATCTGTACTACCTTCTAGTGTGAATAAGTGAAACAGGTTTGAGTTCTTTGTCTCTGACTTTGGGATTCAAGACATTTCTCCAATTCACAAAGCATTTTCCAACTTCTAACACATAAAATAATTTATTAGTTATAAATATTGATTAAAGTCGATAAATGACTTTTTAAAAATTAACAAGTTTGACACAAACTCAAGAGTTTGCTTCAAAATGTGGCATAAAAATGTAAAAAATTTGCTTGTAAGTTTTCTATTTTGCAGATTGAATGTGGGAATCCGTGAGTCACCCGATTAGAGGAGGGTTAACAGTAAGTTAATTAATCAATTACAGGAGAAAACCGTGAACATTTTGGTATCAGCACCGACAATCCGCCAAGTTAAATTAGAAAATATCTGCAAAAAATCCAATATGGAGCATCTTTCTAGTCTGAATAAGGGAAAAAATACCATCTACTTTCTTCTCAGTCTGTTTCTAATCATGTAAGGATAGAATAGAATAGAATAGAATAGAATAGAATAGAATAGAGTGCCTTTATTGTCACTACACACATGTACAATGAGATTAAGAGCAGCTCCTTCAGTGCAACATAGAATAAAGAACAAAATAAAGAGCAAAAAAATAAAATAGAAGTAAGAAGTTCAGTAAGAAGCTGACTGAAGCTCCTCCACTTCACATTCTCCACATTTCAGCACCGCTCAGAAAAGGTTACGGCCTCCTTGTCAAGTCTCTCCAAAGACCAGAGAAGCGAGCGGCGGCGTCTTCCTCCGTTTCTGAGCGAGCCGCCGCTCTTTGTGCACTTTGAACAAAATTCAAATGAAAGCAAAGTGACCCTCAACCCGGGAACAAGGACGCCGGCGCTGTAATTACTCTACTGTTGGCCATAAACAGAGCCTTCATTACTGTCCTTGCCATAAATGAAAATGCGCTCCACTTATCTCCCACCGCCGTCTCCATCTCGGCCTCCTCGTCCTTCTGATTGCCCATTACGCCGGCGTTTTCTTTTTTTAATACCGCGGCGAGTTGCTCGTCTCTCAGCCGGAGGAAGGGAGGAATAAAAAGGAGCCGGGCGGCAGATGTTGGTTGGATTGTTGTAGAAACGTTTGTCGTTATTTAACATGTGACATAAAACGTAGTGAACTCTGAAGATGCATCTCTGGAAAGCTTCTCTCATGTGGCTCTACTTGTGCAGTTCAAAACAAACAAGCTGACGGGGAAAGTAGGAAGGAGTAAACTCTGTGTGCAGCTCCCCGGATCCCAGCGTTTCACCGCCGAGCCCATTCTGCAGATGCATTAGGCCCATTTAAAGACTAAGAGGCTGCTCTAATTTCCCTCCGCTGTAGAGGCCTTTTACAGCCGACCGGGGAAATAAAAGTGACACGAGTCGACGCCTCGGGGGAGCATCTCCACCGCCGAGAGGGCTCCGCGAGACACCGAGTCAGCTCCGGCGAAGTTTGCAGCGATGATGCCGCGCCGATACAACACCTGCAGCACGCGAAGGGATGCACGGAGCCACGAAAACCCGATCCGTGCGTTTGACGGAACGACACTTTGGATTTGAGCTCCCCGGCAGATAAACTTGCTTGGCCTCTTTTGTCTAACGCGATCTGTGGAAAAGTGTTTGCGGACCAAAAAGGTGCAGCTCGGTTCTTCGCACGTGAGCGGCTGAAATAGGTCCTGACCTCCGTGGACTCGGCTGATCTGAAACCGTGGCAGAACTGTGCCGCTTTCCTTCGCAGCTGCTCCGATTATTTGTCGCCGGTATTTTTGGTGTCTCCGGGTTTCGGTTACCTCTTTTGCCCTCGACACCCATTTAGCACCTCCTTGTTCCTGCTCGTGACCGTTTGGTCGCGACTATTTTTGATCGTTTACGTGAATTTA